AGTCAACTTCAAATAGGAAAAAAAGTTAAAAACTTAGAAAAAAATATTTTTGGTTTTTTTATGCGGGATTGAGAAGAAAAGTTTTTCTTCACATGCTCAGATAGTGATACATTTTTTCACGGAGTTCTTTATATCCACCTCCCAGGAAAGACCAAAATTTTTATCAGGTATATCCTCTCCCAGAAAAATTTAAAACTTCCACACAAATCGAGATGGGTTGAAATTCTTCACTGAAGGCAAGATATTCCAACATAAATTTGCTTAGAAATGGCTACTACCACCAGCCAACCCACTGAAAACTGCCCCTCGTGATATGTGTGCGTCTCGTTCTTTCGTTCGTTTATGTTTGTGCGCGTCACTCAACCCGCCGCCATCCATTTTTTTGTTTCTTTCTTCTTCTTATTCCTCTTTACCAGTTCAAGAAATTCATTCTGGCCTAATTTTTTTCGAATTTTTTTCAATTTTTATTAGGAAATGGCTAGGAAAAATGAAAAACTGAAGCGGTGATAACCAAATGATAAAAAAAAAAGAAAAATTCATTTTTTTGTGGGACTATGATCGAAATCAAACAAAAAAACTTGAAGCTTCCATTCATCAAAAAAAATCTTCAGTCCTCTTTCAAAATATCTTGCAAATTAGCAATGAATAAAAAAATGTTGAGTTTTCACTTTTTTTTCAAATTTTCTAGGATAGGTGCGTTCTTATCATTCATTTAGAAAAATCTTCTTATCTTTTGTAAATTCCTTTCACTTGTTTCAAACCTTCCCACGTGTTAATTGAAAAGATGAGGTCTGAAAGTAGAAAAATTCTGAACGATCCTTCTCACTTTTTTTTTAGATTTTTTCTTGATCAACGTCAACCTCATCACGTAGAAAAGCAAAAAAAAAAAACGTTTTGTCCTGAAAACTTTTACATCTTCTGTTTCCAAAAACTCCCGAATAATTTCCTTCCAATATGTTTATTTTTCTTTCTTTCAATATGGAACCTCCTCTTTATTTTTCGCTTACTGATCCCCGTGAGAAATTCACGCGTCTTTATTGAATTATTCCGTTTGTTCGAATAAACATATTAATTTCGATTTTTCAGTGGTCCGCTGTATGGTATAGTCGAATAGGAAGGACGTTTGCTGGAAACGAACACTTCCAGTGCAATCTGCGCCTATTCCTGTCCCTTCAGCGGAACACGTAAGTCTCAATTTTTAGAAAATGTTACTTTCCAGAGTATTTTTTTCGAAAAAAAGCGTCAAAAACTGCAAGAGATTAATTTCTTTCCGGTCAAATACGAACAGCTGATTCAAAGATAATGAGTAACAAGTACATTTTTTACCTCCTGAAAATTCTCATGTTGCAAAAAGATTCAACGCATTTTATATCTGGATGAAAAAAGTGTGAAAATTTGGTATGCTCTGAAGTTACTCATAATATGATGAAGGTTTCGAAGAATCAGAGCATTTTTTTAAAATTCCTCTCAAGACTGACTCAAGAAAAATGATGTAGATAGTAAAACTTCCGACGTTCCTATTTTGTCTCAAGTCAATGTCTTAATAGTATTTTACAGAAAAGAACCACCTGAAAACTTTTTGAGCTTATGAAAAAAATAATTCAAGAACATGTAGATAATTTCAAAGTTTGATGATTCCTAAAAACCAGGATTCACTCAAACCAATGATGAATTTCCTACGAAGGTGGCTATGAACAAGACAGATCCCAACCGACGCTGAGAGGACCGTTGCCCTCAACTCCTCCAACCGATCGATATTCCATCACGCATACAAATTGCGACTTGTCTTGTCTTTTTTGACGGCTTTGACTGCCTTTTTGAGGTCATCATAGCTCAACTGTCATTTTTGTTTTCTGACTGATATACGCTCTTTTCTTTCTCGAAAGTCTGCCTTCTATTTGGTTTTCGAAATTTTTTGTTCTTGATTAGAGGAAATCTCAATTTTGGTATCCTTTGGGACCATCGCTAGTAAAGCGTTTTACTGTTTCATCGTTCAAAAAATCATGATTATTTTTCGAATTATTTGAAATTCACTGTAATTTTCAAAAGTGCAGAAAAACGTCCGTTGGAAAACTTCGCCTTGCCCCTTCAGATCATTCTTGAATCAGTAAACTGTAGTGAAACGTATTGGAAAGCTATCGAAAATGGTTTTTGGATCTACCTAAAAACTTATTGCACCTGAAAAAAAAAGACGAAAAAAGTTGCTTCTCTGTCAAAAACAGCGCAAATCCGTTGATTTTTGCTAGAAGAATGACTTTTGTTGATTCAATTTTTCATGAAAAAATTCTAGCTAGCATTTTTTTTGTTTAGAATTTGAATTTCATTGTAGGTACTGTAATTTACAAACTATAGTCCAACCACCGTTGACTTCAAAAATTAAGTAGAAAAATTCTGAAAGAATGCTGTGCGAGAAAAAGTTCCAGACGGTTTTTTCGAATGTTTTGACCGTAGCGGTTGCAAAAAGATCTAGTAAAAAGTCGGGTTTTCTCGACATCAGACATTTCGAAAGCTTCATGAAGAGATTGAATAACGTCGGGCCACAGCAGAGATCAATCCATACTCAAAACGTGAAACGAGATGAGCGACGAAGATCGGCCGCCGGTGGGAGAAGAGGAGAAAAGGGGGGAGCGCTCGAAACCATTCAATTGTCCTTTGCCTTCGTGTCCCAGCACTGCCAGCAACCTACTACGCACTTGCTGAGACAACTCCCTCAAACAATTGTGTTCGACATCTCCTGCTAATCTCTTACACCACCATCCGCTTTTGGCTTTTTTTCAACTTGTTTGGCTACTTCGCACATGTTTCAGACAATCGAGAAAGTTGAGGAAAGGCTCAAAAAGAAGCTCAAAAAATATGAATTTCCAAACTCCATTAACGACTAACTTATGACAATCTTTGGCCTATAAACCCAAAAATTGATGAATCTGCCATTGAAATTACCCCTTTTCGAAACTTTCTCAATCAAGTCAAAGATGAAAAACCAAAATATGATATCAATGCAAAAATCCATTTCGAAACGGAACAAAATATTATTTTCGGAAAGGTGCAGGTGTAGGAGTGCCATGAAATTCGTGTGAAGCCTCTGAATAAACGTATATGTTGAGATTACGTTTAGGCGCTTTTTGCATTTTGAAACAGTGATGTTAGTTTGCTCAGTCATTTGCCTTTTTTGTTTCTTTCACAGGGAAGTTTTGAAATATTCCCTAGGCTTTAGGTATATATTCAAAAAATCTTCCCATTTTTTTCGAGTTTGAAGTATACCTCGAAACAGGTAACTGGAAAAAAAGCGCGTCAGCTCACAGTCAAATTTCGAAAACGTTTTTTGACCAATTTATAGTTTAGTAAGTTTAAAGTCGCATAGACCATGCACCAATTGCATTTCTAACAAGGAAATCGCTGTTTTCGCGCCAATCTCAATTTTGAATCGGCTCTGGTAGATCCCAGGATATATTGTACTATGTTTTTTTAAATTTTTTTTTTTTATATGGTTTGGCTTGAAAAAAATTGGCCTCGACAGTAGAAAGTTTATGACCAATATTTCATGATCGCCCTATTGCGTGTTGAATTTTTTTTTTCATCGTACAGAGGAGGAAAAAAGACTATTAAGGTAGTAATTTCTCACGCTTGATGGTGGCTAAAATATCCAAACGGCTTCCATTTCCCTACTTTCGAACGTTGATTTTTTTTTTTTGGTACAAAAAAGTTATATCAATGTGGAAACTGACATTTGGTGGATTTAGCTAAATTTGATAACGAGTCTTTTTTTTTCTTCTTCTTTTTCTTTACGTTTTCGTCCTATTTGTTCTTTCCTTTTCTAAAGGGATTAGCCCAGCTCAAGAAAAAAAAGCACGCCTCGCAAATACGCTTCCTTTACTGGAAAAGGTCTGAAAGGCCTCTTAAAGACATATTCGAAATAATCAAATTTTTTGTTCACCCTGTCTCGAAAAAATCGCACGGTGAATGGCTCGACTACGACGCCTCCTACGCGATTTTTCGAAAATAATTTGATCGATCCATTCTAAATTCGATCAATACGTCCCACATTATGTGAAAAGAAGTGTAAACTTTTGAGAAAAATAGTTTCAGTTCTCTGTTTTTATCTTATTTTGCTTTCTTATCAGTATCACTAGCGCCTAAAATCTGTGATAAGAAGAACAGTCCGAGGTGCTTTTCCACTGTTTCGTTCTGTACTGTTTTCAAAATTGTAGAGAAACTAGACTATTTTTGGGCTAAATGAAAGTTTTCGTTTTGAAAGGTTTAAAAAAATTTTTTGCAAGAAAAAATGTTCTTTTGGTGATGGAAACATAAATTAAACTTGAAATATTTTTCAAAGTAAATGTGTTATTTTTTGAATTTCCTAAAATCAGAAAATCCATATTTCCTTCTCAATTTCACAATTTCAAGTTATGAAAAACAGAAAAAAATTATCGAATTTAAAATAAATTTGAGTATTAAAAGTATCAATCAACTATTCAATTAATTATAAACTCTCAAACTTTTTGTTTCATATCGAATTATCTCTTCCTGGCTGTAGTATTTGGGCAGAAAAGGCAGGCGCCGCGAACTCCTCGCAGGCCAATTTCTCACCCCCAAAGTGATGAATAGCTGTGCGCTTTTTTTTTCTATTTTCTAGCCGCCTTGGTGCCTTACTCGAGGCGACCTTAGTTCGTTGTGATAATTCTTTCCCTGCTCATCATTCTCTTCCACGATACTGATCTCACTTGTTCCTTTTCTTTTATCGCGATTTTTCCTCAAAACCTTCTTTCGAAGCAATTTATTTTATTCGGAATAGGAAAGGATAAACTGGAAACTTTGAGAAAAAGAAAACTCTTTCCGGTTTCTTCGACTCAGAAGATAAATCTTCAAACATCAAACTTCAAGTACATAAAACAAATTGTATGAAGGAGTAATTACGAGTACAAAAGTTTCCGTTGTATTTCTCTCTAGCTCTTTTTCCTTCTTATTTTTGATCAATTTTCTGTTTCAGTTGAACGCACGGAATGTCGGCGAGCTATCCGACTCCACCGAACGGAGCCGCGCCCTACACGCCGACAGGTTCCTATCCACCGCCTCAATATGGGTATCCTGGGATGGATCAGTACGGACAGGTTTGTCGTTTTTTTTCACAAATAGTTCAAAGAATGGGCCAAAACATTTCACATGTTTCAATCCATCAGTTTTTTTAAATCTTGCTCTGAAAACAAGCTTTCATCGGTTCGAAACTGTGATCTCAGATGTAGCTCATATCTGAAAAAAAAGGAAAATTAAACAAATTTTGAAGGAGAATCTTGAAAATATAATCTTGCGAGATTCACAGAATTCAATGTTTTCAAACTTTCGATTCACAACCGTCTGATAATCTTTGAAAGCAAAAAACGGAAGTTAACAATTTCACAAGCCCCGCCTACTTTTCGGAGCCTTCCAGTGGCCTAACCTTTTTTTTCTCGGGAGCTTATCATTGAGAGAAACTTTCTAGAATCCGTACCCATCGACGTCGATTGGCTACCCGCCGATGCAGAGCAACGCGGGAGGTGCGCCTAAGCCGCAGACTGGCCAAGCAGCTGCTCCAGCTCCGCCGGCTGGCTACGACCCGCGCACCAACGGGTTCGTCCAATTTCACTCATAATCTTTTAATTGTTGTTTGTGTCAAATGCGACTTGGTGTAGCTCTAGTAACCTGTGGCTACAACTTGAAAGATATCAGCAAACATTATCACATTGAGGGACTTCGAAGAACTTTTCCAAAGAGGAAGAATAGTCATAGATTGAACTGATATTGCTACTTTCATAGCTTGTTGAAGTCACAAAGAAGTATGGAAAAAAAGTTCTTAGGAAAAATATGTTCCTTGAACTGGTCGGATACCCTTGAGGGAAAAAAGGTGAAAGGACGACAACTGTAAAAGTTTCACATTCCAGTTTCAATACTTCATTCGCCGAAAACTGATAATTTTTCATAGAATTTCATTTTGCGCCGACTTTAAAGAACTCCAAAAGCAATGAAAACAAACGCACAACGCGCAAGTCGGTTTAAGTTGGGTGCTCCAAAAAAGCCAAAGCTCATTGTTTGAGTTCTTCTGTCTTCTGAATACGCGCTTCCAAAGTTGCCAGCGGCTCTGAAAATTGGAAAACAAAAACTATCAAGTCTAAAACAGTTTTTCAGAGATGCTTAAAAATCAAAAAGTTAAAAAACGATTGAGACAATTTCTCTCTCTCAAAAATATAAAAATTCGTCTTTCCAGGTACATGGGCTACCCTGGTCAGAACCAAAACGGAAGTCTGATGCCACCGCCGCCGTTGATGTCGCCGTCCGGAAACCCGATGCAAAGCGGCTATCCTCAACATCAACCAATGCGGCAGAACTATCCGTTGCCGAATCCCTACCAGCAAACTGCAAATCCGATCCAGCAGCCTCCGACCACAATGCCAACCAGTCATATGATGCAAAATGCATCGACCAGTGCGAATAGTCAAATGCACCATCAAGTTCAACAAGTTCAGCAACAACAACAACCGCCGAATTTGTCTGCTCAGGTGGATTTTTCGAAACGACCAGGAAAGAGAAAAGAAAATTCTATGACATGAATCTTCCTTAAAACTCAAAAGAAACGAGAAAATGAAAATGACCCCACAAAAAAAAAACTTTGTTAAAAAATCTCACCGCCGCTTCAGATGAGCTTTAAATTGAAATCTATTTGAAAGCATGAAAAGAAGAAGCGGATTTTCGGTCTAAAGAGGTTTTTTTTTTACAGCTGAAACGATTTTTTTGGAAATCACTTACTGAAAACAGTATCGAACTCAGAAGAGAGCCTGAAAAACAATAAATCCAGAAAAAAATACCATTATTTTTTTCTTATTTTTTTCCCAAGCTTTTTGGAGTTTCCTCTGCGAAATCAGATCGAATGCAAACCATTTCTCATTTTCTTCAAACTCAACATGAAAGGGCCAATTATTGCCTTATTCTTGGTCAGTATCGCTGTCAGAATAATCTCTCAGATTCTGCTCCTTTTCTCTTGAAACATAAAAATCAATCCACTCAGAGAAATATCATATTTTCAAATAGCTTTCAATCAAAATAAAAGCTACGTAGCAATCTCATCCTCGTTTTTCTTCTTCAATAACTATAATCATCCTTCTGGCCAACCTCAGTTTACCGCTTCTACCGACATAGTTATTATCTGTCCGTTTGACGCATTTGACAAAAAATACTAATAGGTTACTAGAAAACAAGCAAGCGTAAGTGGATATTAATCTCCTAATGAAAGGATTCGTGAATGAATAGACGTCAGCCCGGCGGCAAGTGCAATTTTTTTTCCTTCTCACCTCATTTCGCTTTTCAAATTTTTTGTGTCTCATTTTCAGGTGGTGAAATAATTTTTTTTTTCTCGAAACAGAAAAAATCAAATTTTTTGTAGTGTAGCAAACAACTTTTCTTTTGTATACTTTTTTCCTCGGAGCTCAGAGCTTTAATGCTTCAAAAAGGTATCACGCGACATCTTTCAAGTATAAAAAAAAGTTTAGAGAAAACTTCTTGTCCTGCTTTTTGAGGTTTAGATAAAAAGATCGCTACAAAAAAATACATCTTTTGAAGCGATAACATCCGGTTGATTTTCGAAACTTGAGTGAAAGAATCTGATGATTTTTTTAAAACTTATTCTCCCAAGTTGATGCACCTTACATTTTTCTAGGCAGTTCGAAAGAACATTGAAACGTCTAATAAATGCCCAAAACTAAGCTCCGAAATCTTTTATTTACTTCTATTTCCCTTGAAAAGCTTTGCAGGCTTCTAGCCGTTATCAAGCAGTTCTAAAGTCTAGTTTAAATTAAGCCACCTGCATTTTCATGACACTTCTTATGAGTCTTTCTAAGTTAGACCCCTGTTAAAGTTTTTTTTTTCGCAGTGCCTACGAGATTTCACTTGAGACCTTTTATTATAAGAAAACTGACTTGCCATTGTTTTAAGATCTCAAGAAGTTTTTTATTGTCAAGAATTTCTATTTCTAACCCAAACATATTTCAGCAAATGCAAAGAAACGCGATGCAACAGCAGCAAAACTCGATGAGTCAGATGATGCAGCAGAATCATAATCATATGGCGCAAGCGATGAACTACGGTCAAATGCCCAATGCCCAGCTTCCTCAACAACCTCAACACCAACCCCAACAGCAACAAGTTCAATCTCAACCTCTGGCCCCTCAGCACAATCCAAAGAGACCGGCTAGTGGAGGACAGCAACAGTTGCCCGGCAGAAGCCCAATGAATCATATGATGCGCCAACAGTCTGACGGAAGCCTTCTCAGCCCTCATGCGTTAGTTTTAACTGCAATCAAGCAAAAAATGTTCGGATTTACGATAAAGTTTGGTTTGATGATAATAAAAAAAGAACTATAGATCAGCGAGAGAACATACATTGGAAAAAAGAGAAGACTTAGCATCAGTTTTTTTTTATTTGGAAAATCGATTAAGAGAAAGCTGTCTCGAGAATTAATCGATTTCTCGTAACTCAATTTGACAAAGAGAGTAATGGGTAAAATGAACGTTCAAGTTCAATTTATACCATTGACTAATATCTCAAAAATAGTGTAACTCACAAGAAATCATCAGATATCGTCTGTATGCCAAGCCTTGGAATTTCACCAAACGACTTTCCGCTGTTCCGCAACGTAGTTTCTTTGCGAGCCTCGGTCTCGCTTTGAATGGGTTCTCATTTCTGATAAATAGACTGTTCCACTAGGAACACGTGTTAGTCGAGTTCTTAAATTGAATAAAGAATTAAAGGCGCGGCACAGCACGCAGCGGAACAGCGGAATGTCGTTCGGTGAAATTCCTAGTTGTGGTACACAGACTAAATCAGTCACTTGAAACATCAAAATGCTTATCGAATTCGAAAAACAAGATCAAAGTGAAAATTTTTCAGGAACGGAACCTACCATCCTCAAACGGCTCGTCAAAACTCGCAGCCAAGCCTTCATTCGCCAGGGATGCAGCAGCACCTGCAGATGACCCAACAACAGCAACATCATGTTCAGCAACAGCAGCAAATGGCTCAGCAGCAGCATCTCGCCCAACCACATCATCAACAGCACTCCGCCATGGCTGCTCAGGTTTCTGAGAACAATGATAATGAAAAATCACAACAACAGATTGGACATTAGAAACTTGCAAAAAAAAATTCTCAGGTACTCTTTCACGAGTCCTGAAACTATTCTGAAACTTTTGTGACTTCTTTTCTTTCTGGAAAAAAGCACGAAGCTTCTTAAGTGGCGTATTTTTTGACTATGAAAGACTAGGCTTAAAAAGTAGGTATTTTCGCAAAATAGAACTTGACAGCACATAAAAGGAGTTCTGTCTAGTTTTTAGGATAATCCTGCTCTCAAAAAATTATTTTTTAAGATCACCAAAAAGTTACCTTCCTCCTTCAGCTAAAACGTCTCGTATCAAATAATGAAGCCCTCTTTTTCGAACTACAAGAAAAGAACAGTTTTTCATCTAGCCGGAATGTTGAGAAAGAAATTCCACTACTTTAATCTCCTTGAAAGCTTTCAGAATTTTTTCCGTTCCTTTTGGAGAAAGCCTCTTTTCGAGCAATTACAAAAATTAATTCCTTGTTAGAACATGTACTAGTCTAAAATTAAAGTTTAACACTGCCCTTATAGTTTTTTCAGCGTGAATATTATAATGAGGTCCCTCAAAAGCTAGACAAGATTCCATAAAGTGCAGTGTAATCTGTCAAGGGTTTCTTAAACACATAAGTAGTCATGCAAAAAAAAAGAAGTTCTGAAGAAAAACGTACTCAAAGTACATCTTTTTTCTTTATTTTTGAACAAGAGTAGTATGCAACCCTGTTGACTCAACTCGGAGTTTGTATTTAAGAATTTCGATTTCGGATCTTGCCAAACCTTTCTACGAAGATCAATTCATCCGCGCCGATTAAAAAATAAACTTCGGAAGAAGCTGCTTTCGAAAATGCGTAAAAGAAAACCATCAATGTCTGATGAATCAATTTAAATAGAACTCAATATGAAATATTCCAAGTAAATTGAGTCATCAGCTTCAATATTTTTTATTTTGAGCATTCCTAAACTAACATCGGTCGGAATTTACATGCTATTTCTAAACAACTGCGTAGTTAATTAAAAATTCGAAAAAATCATCATTCAAGGCTGATGACTCATTTCACGTTTTCTATCGAAAATTCTCATCATCAAGGCTTACATAAACTTTTCATATTCAGTAGAAAGGTGCAATTCCAAGTTAATTAAAAAAAACTGATGTTAGTTTAGGAATGCTCAAAACAAAAATATTGAAATTGGTGACTCAGTTTACTTAGAATATGAATATTTTCATATTGCGTTTTGCTCACCCTTCCATATCTAGTGGAAAGTGCAGTTTTTCATCATATCTGTAAAGTTAAACTTTTTTGCAGCAACAGCAACAACAGGCGGTAAGCAACCAGCCAGGCAGCATGGGGCCGCCCATGATTCCGCCCAACGCGCAGACGACCACCTTCTCAAAGCCGCCGACTCAGCAACAGCTTCAGAGCATGCAGAAGCATCAGGGAATGGTCATTGGTCCAACCGGCTCCGGTCCGTCCTCCGTCGACTATGCTACCAACTCTTCAGCTCCATCGCCTAGGTAAGAATAGATTTCTGGCAGAAAAGATGTCAATCTCTGCAAACATAACAAAAGTTTGAGATTTCATCATGGCCGACCTCGAAAAAGGGTTCAATTCTTCTTGCCAATCATACTGATCTCATTTTTGTACAGAATTTAGAATAACCAAACCGGAATGCCAGACTTTGGAAAGATTAACATCAAGAGTTTACATATTTTTTCAAAAACAGTATTGTCAGTTCTAGGAAAAAACTTCTTTCATCAACCCCTCTTTTTTGGTTCATGAGTCCATTCCAAAGAAAAAACTCATCAAAAACGTGATCAAAGTGTGTTCCGACACGGGTTTTGAATAGACAATCTGGGAGAGTGAGAAAATCGGCACCTTCAAACGTGTGAACAGTCTAACTAACTAGCCTTTCGAAAACCATCCAAAAACACTTTGGCCTTTATTGACTTGCTGAAAAACGGCCTTGATGTAAATTAGCATCAATTCACAACATATTAGATATATTATGTGGTATTCTTTACGTTTTCTTTTCCTACGACATGGGCGTATGTAATATGTTCCTGGCCCGGCAATCACTAATACATTTTTCAGCTGCTATCACTTACGCCGACGGATTATGATAATGGACTTTTCTGTAATTAAATACGCTCACGATCCGAAAGCCTTTCCTTTTTCATTTCTTTGGCTTAGTTTCTGACTCTCACATACGATTTCCTGGCTTTTCATGTTATTTTTAGTAAGATTGCATTGACAGGTGAAATTTGGAGGAGGGCAGATGTTGGGTTTACGACGCGCATATTTTATTTTTCTCAAGGTTCCATCTCACTTTTTAGTTTGGGAACAAATATTTTTGAAAGAATAAAATAAAAACACTTCATTTTTCTTTTTGGTTTTTGAACTGAATTCTGGTGTTAAGGTTGAATAATGTTTATCACTATTAAGTTAAGATGAATCATTCGTCCTCTATCTGCAGGAAAAACTTCGAATTCCTATTCAACATCATATAACTGTTTCAAAGAAGAGAAGGACCCAAATCTTTAGGTTCCCGGATAGAATGCCCTCGCCTCCACGCTTCGACACGCCCTTCACCTCCGTCACTCACTACGACATGCCGCCGGCTCATTATCAAGCTCAGGAAACTTTCAAGGTGAGCGCAAGTGTTCATACCTATCAGGTATCTATCACGCAAAGTGCGAATGCCTCGTTTTTCAAGCCGAAAAAATAATTAAAACCTCACCAGGGGTTTGACCATCCTCATCTGAATGTCTCGAGATTCCGCTGAAAATTGAGATGAAGTCAAAAACAAATCACGACTCGGATTATATCACACGTTACGTTGTTCGCTTTTTGTTACGTTGAAAGCCGCATGAGCCTTGGATTTTAGGTGTTTTGAGGCAGGAGATAAGAGTAATTTTGCAGCGGATTAATCCCCAACTCCAGCGTTACTTCCAGCGAACCAAGCAACCGCTTCGACTACCGTACCCACGCCCTACTCAAGTGAGTATGCGATTCTGACGTAGGCAATTCAGAAGGAGATCAAGAGAAAGATTGAGAATAGGAAAGGGAAACCAAACAATAAATAATTGTCTTCATTGAAACGAAATCTTGAAAGAAATGAACAAACCCTAAGGCCTCGTTTCCGCGTTTCGAAAAAAAGAGTTTTGAATTGAAACTTTTGGTCGACGCCTTTTGAAGTATTTTCCAACGGATTCAAACATGAATGACGTCATCTGGGTGTCCGTGACGTCATTACTTATTTATTCAAAGCTTTCACTCTTGAACTCGCCGAAAAGCCTCATAATAGAACACAGTTCTTCATAGAGTTAATACAAATTTTGCACTTCCTAAATTTTTTTTTTTTGAAAAGACAAACCAAGTCCAAAAAAAATGACGTCATTTTTCACCTAGCATTTTGAGGTTAACCGAGAAATGAAAATCCCTTCTGAAAAATTTTTCCCATTGAGATTCGTTTTTAAAATTTGAGATTTTAAGAAACACAGAAAAGGGCGAAAAGGGAATGATAAAAACGATTTTGAAAAGAGTCATAATTCCAGATCGCGCCTCCTGTCGAGCCACCAACCTTCGGATTCCTACGCGACACCAAGTACTTCGAGCTGCGATTCGAGCGTCGCGCCGCTAACCACATGCCGCCGCCACCGGCGCCTTTGAACCGGTCGCAGTCTATGTAAGGCCCAGCTTTGGTGTCGGCACGACGCTCGAAATCGATCTGCAAACAAAAAAACAATAATGATCTAAAATTGAAAAAAATTCATTTATAAATTCAATTCCATGAATGTTTAAATGAGCAAGATGAAATATTTAAAAAAACGTCGAAGATTTTTTTCGGCTGTACTTTGAATCTTTTTGAAAAATTTTTACACAAAATATCTTAAAATCCTGTATTGATTAGGAAGATGAAAATTAAAACATCCATTACAGGCAGTCGCAAATCATGTCGCCGACATATTCCAACTCCCCAGGCCCAATGAAACCGGCGACCAAAAAAGCTAGAAGTGGTGAGAAATAGCAGTACTGAAAATTTGAAGAAAGAACCTTCAAAGCTGAGAATTATCAGCTTTTCTGTGGCTTAATATCAATCTTTTTTTTGGGCGCAATAAACGATTTTTCTTTGTTTGCTGTGCCAAGAACTTCATTGAAAATTTCTCGTGTTTTTTCAAATCTCCAGTGAATTTTTTTAAACTTAGCGCTAGCGTTAAGTTTTCTTGAGCAACAGAAATCTAACTTACGACTTCCAAAACCATGGAGATTCCCTCGAAATGTCCGTCAAAACATTCCAAAATTTTCCAGCTTCCGATTCGGACGAGGCTTTCAACGCTCTCAGTCTCCAGCAGAACATGATGAACCAGCAGATGATGAACGATCAGCAACAGCGTCTTGCCATGCCTCAGTACATGATGGAGCAGCAGCAGATGCAGCAACAGCCTCAGTACAACAACGGAGGAATGCCGCAGCAGCACCGCAACATGGTCCCCCAAAACGGATACATGATGCAGCAGATGAACGACCCTAATGGTTCGTTTTCGAGTCGTTCAAGGGTCTTTGGGCTGAATTTTTGAATGAAGAAGATGAAGGGGACTAATAGAGAATCCGGTTTCATGAAAAGTTCTATACTTTTTTGTTTTGCTGACTTTACTTCTAGAAAGAATGGTATATTCCAGCCCGCCGCCAGTCCTACCAGCCGCAGCAAAACGGCGTTCCAATGGACATGAACCAAATGGCTGGCCGACGCGAGTTCATGCCCCCATTGGAGCTGCGCTGCACCCAGTGCTCTCATCCTATCGCGGTAATTTCGAGTCATAAAGAAATGATAAAAAAATTTATAAATTTTTCAGCCGGGAGCCCAAGCGATGCACTGCATGTACGACCATTGCAAGAACGTCTTCCATAAGGTTTGTAAATCGAAATAAAGTCTGAAAAAAAGCTGAGCATACGTTGTTTCTGTTTTTTTACGGTCATTTTTTGTAATCTTCTGGAGAATAGCTGCCTAAAAATGACTTTGAGCCAAATGTGAAACTTGACCATTAAACGACTTGCGCAGCAACCTTGAAAACCTCGGAGTTGACAAAACTTAGACTTCAAGATGTTCGAATTTCTTATTCGGACTTCGCGCATTACAAAAATTTATAGTTTTAAAAGACAGGAAAATAAAAAAAACTTAAACGGCAACCGACCATTCACGGTTTCAGTCGTTTATGATCGAAAGAATATAAACCTTTTCTTCAAAGTCATTCTCAGCGTTTTCTTGACCTTATCCCAAGTTTTCAATTTCAGGAATGCACTGGTCTCCTGCCTGAGGCCTTCGCCCGTTTGGAAGGCGAGCACGCCCAAGTTCGCTGGACCTGCAACCAGTGCACCATTGCTGCCGGCCAGCGTTAAACCTTCATTTCCCAAATAAAAGCAAAAACTTATCATCGATTGTATTTCACCGGTTTGGCGCAATAATTGGGATGAAAAACGCTCAAATGTTGTTTTATTTTTCGTTGTGTCATTTGCTCATTTGATTTGACACTCATTTGTTCAACGCAGTTAATGGGGCCCTACTCTTCTGGTTCTTTCATCATTTTATCCTGTCTTCTTTCGATTTGTTCTGTTCCTCAACCAAATGTTTTCCCACTAGTTTTTCAGTTTCTTAGTTCTATTTACTCCAATTTCCAACCTAGCAACTCCAGTAAATTTGTACCAGGTCGTGGTTACTATGTAAAATATATATTTTGGAATTTATCGACCTCAATCAAAATTTTATTTTTCCTGTTTTTGATCCATAGATACCCCACTTCAAGCCATTCTGGACTGTTTTTTTCTCTCTTTTTCATTTTTCATCAATATTGTTGCATTTATCACTACGTACTTATTACCATCTGGCCAATACCCATCTAAAACTTTTACAATTGTCATTATCCTCTAATCCTTCTGTTCATGATAAAGATTCTGAAAATTATTAAATACTAGTTTTTGTAAAAAATTCGCAAAGTTATTTGAGGGTTAACTATGAAATTTCAGCTTCATCTTGCACATGGATATATGGATGAAGCTTAGAAGCTTCTCAAAGGGTCTTTTGTGAAAAAATCAAGTCTCAGTTTGCAAAAAACTCAAAATTCGCTTTTCTCAGTGCTTTTGTTAACTATTATTTCCTGATCGAGTCGCTCAATTTCTGTCGACTCGAAATTTATTCTTTTTTTTTTTCAAAAAAACTGTCGATGATATTTAGAATATTGTATCCCCTTTTCAAACCTGAACAGCGCTGAAAATCCTTGAATATTCGCTACAAGCAAGAACACATGGCGAACAAGCCAAACGCAGCCGACCTGAAGTAACGAGCCACCAACACCCGGGAATCAAACCACCATGTTCGATATGTAATTGCAAAGGCTGGCTGCAATTTGATTGCCTTAGCCTACTGTTCAATTTCAGATCTTCTTCGGAATTCCGCAAACTTGAAAAATCGTAGAGCACTCGTCTTCCAACAGTTGATGAAAGCGTTGAGGCGCGCAAGTCGCTCAAAGTCGGGCTCAACAAAAAACACTCGAGAGCCTCAAGGCGAATGAATCAAGAGAAATGTGATTTTTTAAAATTGTGTAGTTGTTGCTCAAGTTTCGGTGAATAGAAAGTTCGAAAAATGAGTTTCTTAGACATTAAAACCTTCCTATTTCTAAGATTTCCCGCATTTCGAACGCCCTTATTATGACCTCGATGTCGTTTTTGAGACGAGGCTCGTTTAGCGTTGATCAGCCTCGGCGGACGAGGTGGTTGGGGTTAGCCATAGAGCGCAAAAACCGACAAAAAACTCGGCGAAGAATGGCGGAGAGCATAAAAACGTCGACGGCTGTGCATTCACGCATGAGGATCGTGATTGCAAAACATTTGAAGATATTCTCGATGAATGACGAAGGCTTGGCTACTGTAGCTGAGCGTTTTGAGGCTTTTTTTAAAACATATATTCATATCCAGAAGGGATTTCAAAAAAGCTGAAGTTTTTTAGAAATTTTATCAATTTTCTTGCAGTTTTTCGCAAAGTCCTCCTCAGGAATTTTTGACTTTTTTTCGATTCATTTTTGGAAGGTCGAATAATATCTCTCCTTCATAAGGATTCCTTGGTGAAGAAGTTGATCAAACTTCACTGAACTTACGTTTAGGTCTCCCAATCTCGGACAAACAGAAAATCTTTAAAAAAAGTTGCGAACATTTGAATAAATTTGGGTTTCTGGCGTTTTTGTAGATTTTGATGGTTTTTCTTTGAACTTTCCAGGATGAAGAACCATAGCTAAGAGTCAAAAAAAAATGTATCTGTGATCTCAAATCGAAGAAACCTAGTTTTGTGAATTCTCATTGGATCGTCTTCTGGTAATCCATATCAGGATACTTCTGTGGACGCTTGAAACCTTTTTAGAAACGCCAGAAAGTTACAATCCCACGGTTTTTATCATCGATTGGAATCAAATTGTTGCCTTTTTTGGACACATTGGACACCTGTATTCAGCCTTTTGACCTGGAATTGTTTGTAGAAAACGTGTTCGAGGCCATGTTTGGCGTGTAGGGCCATGCCATTCAGAGGAAAAGCATCCGAAGCGGAATAATGCAGCTCTCGACTTCCGACATACATAGATTGACTGGACACGGCAAATTGTATTGGCCCGATTCTGGAGACGGGTCGCACTCGCACAAATTGACTACCGTAACCTCCAGCTACCGAATTCGATGTAAGACCTCGGCTTTGGCAATACGATAAACAACAAAAATCTCAGTGTTGAAAATAAGAAATATATTTTTTTGCTCCACAGAGCAAACGCTCAGTATTTTTTTGTTATTTTTTCTGCTAGGATTTTTTCCTCTTTGAAGAGTGCTACTAAAATCAAATTCCCCACAGAGAGTTGAATGCTTAAGCTGCACCCGACTTGAAACAATTTGCGCGTTTTGATTAAAGTTAGTCATGATGATAATTAATAGTGAAGTCAAAATCACATAAGAGAAATTTTTACCTCAAAAAAACAAGTTTTCACTTACGAGCTTTTTTCTCAGTTGATTCCTCTTGTCAGAAATTATGACCAATCGGAAATCAAGCTACTCTTTCCGAAGGGCTCGGTGTCATGATCAAAAAAGTTTTTCGAAAAAATACTAGACTTTGGCTTTTCTTTCTTGCATAGTGAAAGAATGAACTTTAAAGGACCAAAATGAGGACGAATACGTATACGTACTGGTTAAGAAAGAAGTAACTTTTTTGAAATCTGCCCTCAAGACGTCCTTTCATTTTTCATCTCTTGTCTTTTTTGCCTTTTTTTGTCGGCTCCGATGCTTTTATTAACTTTCATGTTGAGTTTATAACGTGTTGTAAAACATTTTTGAAAATGGAAGTGAAATATATTCGTGGAAACTAAAAATGAAAATCTAGACACCAGGCGTTGACGGAATCGTACTGTAATGCTTGTAATATTTAAGCTTCAAACTAATATTACGTCATCTTTCAACAAAGTTTGAAAGAAAAAGAACTTCTAATTTGAGAAATGAGTCTGAAAACACTTGGTATACAATAAAAATAAAATCTTTTTGAAGTCGTTCGCGGTTTTGGTTAAATTTTCTTGATCTCTCAAAATTTCGTGGGATTGTTTTGTCTTTTTCGAAACCTCTTCGTTCTGTTTAATCAAATTTCTCGCTGAATAATTTAATATGAAAGATTTTTTTCTGATGGCTGAATTTCGCGGGAATCAAAAAGCGAAAAAAATTACATCTCGATAATTATGGAATAATTAGTTAGTTTTTGATTTTAAAAAAATGAGGAATACCTTCTAAGTCAAAAAATAATCTAAAAAAGGCTAACTTCAGGTTGTGACAAGCTTTATGTTCACCTGCGGATACAGTATAACTCCAAAACTTATAAACCGAACGGAAAATTGCGATCACATCTTCTCAGAATAACTTACCAACTCCCAGGTGACTTTTGCGGCAAAACGAAGTTCTCGTGAGTGGTAGCCAAGTCCCGCCCTCAGACGTCGATTGGACGAAACGGCCAGCCGCCGCCGACTGGCAACAAGCCATCCAGGAACCCAAGGACACGCCTCCAGTCCAGGCCCTCGCGCGCCACCGACCACGACGACGACGACGGCGACGACGACAAAATCGTTGGATCGTCTTCCGACCCACTTGACTGGATTTCACGCTACTTCGACGAAGAGCGACCGAGCGTCAACGAGAGAGGTGAGCAGTCATTACAAAGACGCGCCAGTGCGCTCCAAAGAGTATGAAGCGGTGCGTGCAGTTGAGCCGTGCCAATTGCCCCGCAAAAACCGCTGACTCCATTCTTCTGAACATGCTGCCAGCCGACAGCCGCTCCTTGAAACTTACGTAAGGTTCTTAGTTGGGTTCGGTTAGGTAGAGTTGGTGGCAGGTCCGTTGAACGGTCCAAAAGTGAAGGTTACAAAGTTTTCCCCTTGCTTTTGATTTTTTTTTCCAGATTATTGGTTGGTTCAAGTATGAAATCAAAGTGAGTTTCTAAAAATTTTGTCATCAAAAAAAAGCCCAATTTTTTGTTATTTTTGAGCTGGATTAACATTCATCCATACATCATCAAAGTTACGAAAGTTATAGTCAATGCCGTAAAGATGAACTCTCATTTATTTGGACTTACGCAAAAGAAAGGTTAACCACTGATTTGGGGAGCTACCAGATGCACGTCATTCGCATGGTTTATAATTTTGAGCTCCATACACTTGCGGTCAAATTTATATTAAATCTAACCTTCAACTTTACAAGATGGCCCTTCTTCAAAGTCTATTCTGCATGTTTGAGATCACTTTCCCCGTTTTTCTGGCCAAATCCCTTCCCTATGAACTTATCGAGAGCTCTTATTGATTTTCTAATTATCCAATCCTTTTTTCTAAAATCGGGATGACTTTTTTGCTTTTTTTTCGTTTACTCTTTCATAAAATCCAATTCTCTGCATTTTACTTTTTTCCCTGCATTCCACAGCCCTTTTTTCGAATCGATTCTGGTGTTTTTCCGTTCCGATCCGAAAGAAGAAGTTCCTATGCACTTTACTCCTGGAATCGATAAAAAAAACGTTGGGCTGATACTGCTCTGGGAGGAAGTTGTAAACTTGCGCACTCATTTTATGGAGGTGCACTGTTCGTGGGATAAAACCCACACCGAAATTCAAACTCCCCACTCTGTTAGAGAACAAACCTTCTGTTTTGAGACCAGTTCTGAAGCCAAATGTCTCCTGGTGAGTCTTTTTTTTAATAAGATTCAAATTTGATTTTATCTGCTGTTTTTGCATTTCATTAAAAATGTTTATCCGTCCAGCTGCACGAAAAGTACAAAAAATTGAAAATCAAAAAAACCTAATAAATCCAACAGCTGGTATCTCGATTATTTTAATTTATTCCTATTTTGGTATATGCTTTGGGATAAATTGAATTTGTTGAAACCGATGATACCAAGGTAGACCACCCATGGTGCTAACTGCGCTTGTCATAACGGTTCATACAAGTTTCGGTGCCTCAAATTCGCATTCGACCCCTCGTTTTCCTCCAATTTGATGGTCTTTGTTGCTACCAGCGTTCCTTCTATGCTAATTCCCTTTTCTGAACTGTTCTGAGTTAGGTTTCGAAACTGTTTTGGACATTTCAACAAGTTTTTGAGGCTGAACAGTACAAATTTCGTTTTCTCGATTCTTTTAGAAATCTTGTGGGGTAAGAAAAATGTCTTGATTTTTTATTTGTTGATTATTGAATATAGGAATTTTTCTAGCTGTAATATCTACAGAAAAAAATGTGATTATTTAAAATCCAGCCCTTTTTTGAGTTCATTATTTTTAATATGTTTCACGATTCCTTCCCTCTTCATCTTTAAAACGTTGATCTTGAACAAAACCAAGCCCATCCTCCCAATTCAACCATTTTTCCACGGCTCTCAAACTGGCCATTTTTAAATTACGCCCAGACCTCACAAGTGCAAATTACAATCGTTGCCGAAAGTGGTCTGTTTCGCGCGCCGTGTCATTTTCTTCTATTCGGCCATTTGTACATCTCTCAATATCCCACCTGCGCGGTACCGTAACGTAGGGAAAGCTTTCATCTCTGTAATTATTGTAAGAGTAACACGATTGCACTTATTCGTTCCCACTTTTCTCAAAGCAACTTGGTATTGCGAGACAATTTTTTAAGCGGCCGCTAGTCTGATTCACAAACTGACAAAAAAAAATTATGGCCGCTTTCGATGTTATGCCGCGCAAGTCACTTGGGGTCAGTTGCGCAAAAATAAAAAGTTGGTATTATTTTTCCTGAAAATTAAAAAATTTTTTTATATTTTTGCTAACGCTGCTTGAAACTTATTTTTTTAGCGGGTCTTCCACAATTTTTTTCTGATTTTTCATCTTATGGAACTCAAGCTGTTTTTTTCATCCGGCGCGTTCAGACAAAAATCAACTACTAATTTTTTTACTTTTTTTGGATGGCACGTTATTTTGGATGGCAAGTTACGAGTTATAAAATGCTTGTAAAAAAATAGTGTAAAAAGGGAAGCTTATTCTGTTCTCCTGACGTCATCGGACGCAAGTCGTTTTTGGTCGGAAGCAAGATATTTTTTTCAACAATGTTCAAATTTGAAATCAAGATTGATAAGTTAATATTTTTAACCATTTTCAACGGGGTATCAAGAAAAACCTATGCAGTTTTTTTTTCACGCCTTTCCTGTGGAATGTCGCAACTTTTTTCCGCCTCTGCCATTGACGAATTTTCTACCTAATTTCATAACGCTAACTGGAAAGCAGTCCGAAAATAGAGTGAGTTGTAGAGAGCGAGGTGGATTCTGCGCTCAGTCATGCATACCGTAGCCATTGGCCGCCAGAACAATTTGCTCCGTTGTGTTGTTCGTATTGACGGCGCATTATTAACGATATATCTCTTCATCCAATTGTCTTCATTATTTCGCACTGAAGTCAAATTTTCTGAAGACTTTCCAGTGGGTTACGGTAGAGATGATATGGTTCTGCACTCAGGGAAAAGTGAAAGAAACGGACAAAATAAAAATTTTTTTTTCGGATTTTTTGCTCGATTTTGAGCCCTGATCTTCAGAGGACTTCAGTGAATGGAAAGAAAGATACTTCAAAACATCGAGATGATGTGAATCTGCACAGAAAAAAAAAGAACAAAACATACAGAAATTTTTAATTCAACTTTATAAATCTAAAAAAAAAAGTTTTTATACCTGTCTGTTAACAGGTAACAAGATCAATTAAGTCATCATGCAAATTGAAAACCAAAAACTTTTGAAGGTAATTCAAGACGATCTATGAAACTTTCTATGATTGCCCTGAACATTCTTTGGTTAGCGTCATGAAGGATCTAAAGAAATGTCTAAACTTGGGAAACTTTTTTTTGGTTGACAAAAATTCAACTGTTCTCTTTTTTACACTTCCAATTTGAGTCAATTTTTTTCAATTTTCGAGCAGCTAGAGACTTTTGGAAGTTTTCAACGTATCGAGAGTGTAATGTTAATTTTACTTTTCAAAAATTTCAAGTTCCTAGAGCTCATATAGAGACTACTTTAAAAAACGCTAGAGTTCTCAATAAATATCATATAAAAATAGATATGTTTTCTTTCCAATCTCATACCGATATATCATCGACTTTTTTCGCGCTTAAAATTTCCCTAATGAGGTTCGTCTACCTATTTCGATTTCGAAAATTACGTCGACATGGACTTTTTTAGACGTTGAAATCCGTTCTAGGAATTGATTAACTATGCTCCACCGTCTGCCAGCTTGATAAACATGCCCTTCCTCCAGTTTTTGCTCATCTTCGAGACACTTGATTCACTAATTTTTTGGAAGTCGTCTGATATTGGCTCCAAAATCTGTGATTTCTAGCAAAAACTGCGATTTTCTACCTGACTAATTGTATTAGTGAAGCAGCTTGATTCAGTCATCGATGGAAGACGTTGTGGACGAGAAAAACTTGGACCCGTTTCAAGAAATTCTGCTTTTTTCCTTTTTTGCATCTGCAAACGCAGTAGCAGCATCTCTTCAGTTTATGGCTGAAAATGTCAGAAGTAACGCCGATATGTCACCAAGGAGTGAAAGAGGTAATAAAAAGGTTTCATGAGAACTTTTCGAAAATAAACCATAAAAAAAGTTGGATAAGATAGTGGGACTAGAGGGCTCTTTCCCATGAAAGGCAATAAAAAGTTATGGGATTGATATTTTGGCGATTCGAACTGGATATTGGACTACTAGTTGGTATTGCCTCATCTCTGAAGATCAAATTTGAGATAACTGGCTCTGTTAAAAAGTCCTGAGTATCTGAAGAAAAATATTTAGCTTCAAATGAGGAAAACCTCTATTGAAATTTCTTTTTTTCATATTTTATCAGGAATACTAGGTTTAGTTTCATTCTATTTGTAAAGTTTCATTGAGGTTATCACAAAAAAAGTGGTATTTTTAGCTCCTTGGCGTCAGAACCTATTAAATTTGACGCTTTCACATGGAACAACTCCATTTCTATAAAATTCAGATTTTTTTGATTCTGGAGATTTTTTTGAACATCCTTATAAAAAAAGATTTTTTTCCCCTAGAAAAAAATTTAGTACTCACCAATTTTTCTGTCTTACAGGGAAGGCCATTTTACTTTGCGATTAGAGATTTCTTAAAATAAGCCAGAACAATCTTTGTTGTACCAGATGAAGATCCTAATATTCTCAACCTGCACAACTTTTTACTTCTCGGGAAATAAAGGCCTAAAGCCCAAAAAAAGCCATTTCAATGGACTTTGAGGATTTTCTCCGACTCAGAGACGTTTTTTTAATCAAAAACGAGGAAATTGTGCTGATTGAAACTTTCTGAATCGGTTTCTGATACATCTAAGAGCGGTATGACCAATTTTCATGAAAATCTCAACCGCAAAGAAAAATAACCTCCCTTGTCAGCACGTTGTGGAATTGATATTCAAATTTTCATTAATGAGTTCAATTTTTTTTTTACTAATAAATGAAACATTCTTCTGTATCTGGTATTAAAAAAATCAGTTGAAAAAAATCTGATTTTTGCTGGGAATAATCAAAAAAACCAGTGTTTTTCTCTCAAGATCACTGTTCAGTTAATGAAAAAAATTCTATTGAAAAAAAGTCCACGAGATTTTTGCCAAAATAAGTTTTTTTGCGAATTATACTAAGAAATTTGCTAGTTTTTTTCTTTTTATTATTCTCCAAATTCGCGCTTGATAATTTTTTTGCCATTGACGGTTTTGATAATGAGGATGTGCACCGGCCTTAAATAGAAAACTCGAAAATTATCTCCAAGCGAT